AGCGTCGAACTCAGCGGCAATCATGTTAAAAAAATTTAATTTTTTTTAATCGTTTTTCCGATGTTACTACTTGTCCACAGTTTTGTACGTCATAATGAAGCCTTTTTTACAAAAATTATATTATTTTATAAAAATCAAAATAAAACTTAGTTATACTATAGCAGAAGCCATAATTAACTCCCCCCAAGTAGATTCATTAAGGAAGAAACTAATTTCATAATTGATTTTTTGTATTTACACCTTTAAAGCGCCAGTTATACATATAGGGAGTCACAGAATCATCATGGTGAAGCCTTAACATATCAAAATTCAAGGACATAGGTCAAGGGACCGTTGGGTTTGAGAATATATACGATAAACGTAACTTCAAATTTCCCCTAAACAAGAAACGAACATAACCTCAAAATTTAAATAATTTTAATACTTGCAAGCCTTTACTAAAATTACAAAATATTATAAAAAAAAAAAAAAAAATTTTATTTCAACAAAGTATATATGAAAATCTAATAATAAGAAAGTTATTATGATAATTAACTATTTAATAAAAAGTATTAAATATAAATCAAAATATGTCGTTATACAAAATACTTTTTATTTATTTTCATTGTGTGCTTAATATATTTATTAAAAATTTGACGTCTCACATTCCTCATATTATATATACTTGTTTGGTTAAAATATTTTTATATAGAATCATTGAATCAAAGTTGGCTGAAATCCAGATTTTAACATGATATATTTTATTTCCCGAGCGGGATATATGTCGACCTGGTCTATTTTTCATAAAATTTTATTCACACATATGTTTCAGTTGCTTTTTCCTTTATTTTTTATATTTTATATATTTATTTGACATAAATTTATATCTTAAAAATAATTCCAAGTTTTCAGAAAAAGTATCCTAAATAACTATACAAACAAGTTTTACCTAATTATTTAGAAACTTTTTATCAACGTAAAAGTATAAATATTTTTGATTTAAAATTTGTTTTCAATTTTAATATTAAAAATTTCTCCTACAGCACCGAAACTTTCCTAAAGATTTCCTAAAGATTTATTTGAAATTTTCGGATATTTAATTGCAATGTTTAGTGAAAATTGTGTAAAGATTTAAATGTCCCGATTAAATAAATGTTTAATTTCGGGACATTTAAATCTTTACACAATTTTCACTAAATATTGCAATTAAATATTCCGAACATTTTAAATAAATCTTTAGTAAAGTTTCGGTTCTGTGTGGGGGTTACAATTAAGAGTTTAAAAAATATTTTTCTATATTTTTAAATATATTCCCAGGTGAAACAATTCTACGGAAATCACTCCACGGAAATTCCATACGGAATTCCGCAAAATGTTGAAAATATTCCTTTCGTAATTTTGCCAATTTTTTTTGGGAGAATTCCATACAGAATTGCACAAAATTTTCAATAAAATTCCACAACTTTATTTTTTGCTGATTTTTTTGTGATTTTAATATAACTATGCTGCTACTATAACGAAAACTAGTCGACGATGATGTTCCTGGTGGATATAATATAGAATTTATGATAGATTAATTAATATCTACCCGAACTTATTTGAGAGGTCAATAAAACGTTTTCAAAATTTTTTTATTTTTTTTTTTATTTATTCAATTAGATTTCTGATTTATTTAATGTGTTTGCAATTTTAATTTAAATATATTACTTCTTTTCATCATAAAAGCTAATTCTTATTATTTACAAAAATTTGCTGAGAAATTGAACTTTCTTTTAAAACTAAATCACTCGTTATAGTAACAGGCTAAAACTAATTTAAAAAATTGTTATTTTATTTGATATAATTATATGCAAGTTTGATTCTATACCTTTGAGCATGCATTTAGAGGTCATTTTTCACGTTAAAAGTGTTCGGTTGACACCTTGATTCCTATACATCAGATCATAACGTAAATTTTATTTTATACACTGTAAAAAGACTAGTAGATTTTTCTACTTGTTAACAACCTTGCGTTATTCAATACGTCCTCAACGAAATTTAAAAAGTTGTATTGACTACAAAAAAGTAGATAAAAGAACTAAGAATATAGTTGGTCCGATGAGATTTTATAGTTGCTTTAATTTTTGTAGTTGACTCAATTACATTTTTAAGTCAGATCAATATCTAGGTAATTATTAATTCCACAAAAAAAAATTAAATTGACTACACGCACTTAGTTAAAATAACAAAAAAAGTAGTTACTTTTACTACTTTCAAGTCAGTTAACTAAAGGTAGTTGAGGATTTCGGCTAAATTTTTTTCAGTGTACAGTTGTGAAATTCTAACAAAAATTTTGTGCAATTCTGTATAGAGATTATGTGTGTAATTCTTATAAAAAATTTGCAAAATTACAAAAGAACTTCTTTCAAAAATTTTGCGCAAAATTTTTGCGGAATTCCGTATATAATTTTTACGGAATTCCGTACGGAATTTCCGTGGAGTAGTTTCGGTAGAATCGTTTCACTTGGGTTTTAAATCATACTTAACTTAAAACTATATAAATATGTCACTAACCATCTCAAAATACTAAATACATATACATATATAATATATTGAGAACATATTTTTCTAAGAGATAATCCCTTGAGTGTATATAGTGACGTGTAGAAACGTTTTTGACATAATCGAAGTGTAAAAAGTTGTTTATATACGTCCTTAGGAAAAAAAAGTTTTATAACTTTTTCATCGATGAACAATATAAAACTGATATGGGAATATGGAAGAACTACCGAGGAAATTTTCTCCCACTTATATATATATATATATATATATACATAGTAGGATAATACTATTATAAAAACAAACTTTTCTCCCCTGAAAATTGTCAAATATTGTCTGTTTGATGAAAGATGACATTATTTTAATTTTTTTTTTCTCAATAATGCTTATATTGGAGGATTTACAGAAAATTGAGATTCTTTTGAAACTGTAACTTCAAAAAAAAAATTACATTAATATTTTTACTGATCTTCTATTTTTAAAGCTGAAGATGACTACCTAATTTTTCGTAAGAGTTTTTTTATAACATGACTACTCAATTTTGATAAAAAGAAATCATCTATTGTTGAATAAATTTTTATTAAATGAAATATTTTTATAAGTAAACGTATAATAAATTTCCAATTCTAAACTATGTTTTTGAGACAAAAAATCTTAATAACTTACGTTGAAAAACTTGTTTAAAAATCAAAAATCGTGATTTTTTAAGAAATAATTTGGTCCTTAAAGGGTTAAGAGAATTTCTCATTTGATCGAATTTTTATTTGTCAGCACTTTCATTTGACAGAAACATTTTGACGCAAATTTTAAAATTAACCAATCAAATTATTCTGGGTAATTTCTGATTGGTTAATTTTTAAATTCGCTCTGAAAAGTTACTGACGAAAGTTAATGTGAAAAATTGGTTATACGTATATGTAAATTATGTCAAAAAATAATTCAATTAAAAGATTAATTAAAATTAAACACAAGTGAGTGAGAAAGAGAACTGACAGAAAAATGTTTAGTCAGAGAAACCAAAAATTTGGTTAGGCCAACAAAAAAATTTTTGTTGGTATTTAAATAACCAAACTATTTGTTTGAGTCAAACAAAAAATTTGGTTCAGTGTTTTTTGTTGGCATAACAAAAAATGTTTGGTTAGCTTAACCAAATTTTTTTGTTAGGTCAACAAAAATGTTTGGTTGATCAAACTAACAGTTTTTTTTTATGTAAAATAAAAAATTTTATTCCACCTTATTTCTTTTCATTTTATCTTTCTTATTTATTTTATTATTTATTATCAATTTAACGTTTAATTTATATTTATCCAATTGAAATATTTGTGGACTTTGATAAATCTCATCTCCGCCTGGGATCGAACCTCTGTTTTTAAATTGCGAGTTGGGAGCTCTGACCACTGGACTACCCATCCTTGTGAGAGATTTAAACTAATTATTCTCTTAAGGTACGAGCTGAGAGCGAATTAAATTATTTGGTTGTTGTACCTAAATTTTGGTTAGGACAACAAACGATCATTTGGCTTTTTCAGACCAAACTATTTTGTTGTGTTAACCATATTATTTTGTTATCGTAACCAAATTTTGGTTGGAATTTAAAAATATTCAACCAAATAATTTTGTTATCGTAATCAAATTTTGGTTGGAATTTAAAAATGTTCAACCAAATAATTTTGTTGGCCTAACCAAATGTTTTGTTGACCTAACTCTACACTCAGAAAAAAATTCGTTTGAAGCAACCAAATTTTGGTTAAATCAACAAAATAAATGCATTGATATACAGTTAACCAAACATTTGGTTGCATAAACCAAACGTTTATTTAGCTCAATCAAATTTTTTCTTTGTTCAAAAAATTTATTAAAATAAACCAAACAGTTATTTAGATCAAATAAATATTTATTTGAATTAAACAAATTTTGTTTAAACTAACCAAAAAATTGGGTGAATATAAAAAAATGGTACATTTGGTTCAAACATATCTTTTTTCTGAGTGTACGACTTTGTTTCAGCCAACCAAAATTTCGTTACAAGAATCAAAATTGCCTATAACCAAACGATTTTGTTGTAAACAGAAAATCTTTTTTTTCAGTGAGGTCGTTATCTATGGTCAATTGCTTTTTTCTTTTTTCCACTTATTTTCTTTATTAAATTAAAAATAAATTTTAGTTTTTAAATTCAGGAACAGAATTACATTTTTTGTTTTAAGTTTTTAAAGCGCATATAAAAATTTTATTATTTTTTTTTTTTATAAAAATGTAACCGCATAGTTTTTTTTTGTACTTTACGGTATTGTTGTCTAGCCATTAAAACAACCTTTTTCTTTTAAGAAGCGTTCTTTTTCTTTTCTTTTTTTCTTTTTTTTCGTTTTTGTTTATGTTACATTTGATGTTCATTCTTTCACTCTCCCTCCTTGAGAATTCGTTTATATAGAGTATACATGCGCACAAAATTCTCAGTTATCCGCACGCGGGAACTAACAGTGATTCAGTTCACTCGTAACTTCCTTTGCTAAAGATTCAACCGGTAACCGCGTGTCAATCAATTGTTTTTTACTTATGATTAATTTCAAAAAAAAAATTTTTTTAAATAAATTAAAAAAGTTTTTAAAAAAATAATACTTTTAATTATTTTTTTTTTCTTAAAAAAATGGAAAGGACGATAATTTTTAAGAATGAATTAAATTTTAATTCTTCAAAGGGATTTCAATTAAAAAGTGCAAAATTTATAGGAACGAAATATAAAGTGTAATTAATTAAAATGAAGTTTAATTCATAAATATTTGATATTAGTCTGCAAATTAGATTTCTACAGGAGTTGGAAAAACATCGGTATGTTATGTTTAAATTCAAAAATATATTTTTTTTTTTTATTTTATTTCATAACAATATTTTTAAAAGTAAATTTTTTTTTTTTAATGAATTGAATAAAATATTTTTATTGATATTACAATTTAAAGGTAGTAATAAAAATTGTATCAACGATAATAATGATAATAAAATTTATTATATTTTTATTTTTATATTTTAAATTGATTTTTTTTAGAAGTAGGAATAATAATATTAAAATTATTTCTTTCTTTTATTACAAAATTTTACGATGAATAAAATAATTAATAAAATAATTTCCAAGACATTGGTATAATATGACTTAATAAAAAATTACCTTGAAGAAATAGTTAATTGATCTAAATTGTGCGCACACCCTGTAAGTTATATATGGAGTGACAGTTTGAAGATTAAGTTAATTTTAACTCTGTTGTTGCTTTCGATTTAATTAAACTGATTCCCTTACTTTGTGAGAGACATGAGAAGTTACAGGAGTGTAATTAATTTACAGAGTTTACACCGCGTTGGCAAACTTTGAATCGATTTCAGTATTATGACTGTAGGAATCAACAGAAATTTCTGATATTCCATAAGATATAATTATTTAATCACACGACAATAATAGATTTTATAGATTTTTAATTAATCAATTTTTTATTATTATTTAACATGTCATTATTTCACTAATGTTTTCTTAATAAACTTATTTCGATATATAGGGGAATGTATCCATGCGAGTGAACCACCTTTTTATTTACACAAATAATTTTTTTTCAGTGAAGGAAATTTAAAAATTATAATACACCATTGGATAGGTATTGTCCTCAGCTATAAGTTATATATGGGTCATTCTCACAAAAAGGACAAATGACACGTTCATGACATTATTTTTAATAAATAATTATAATAATTGAAAATGTTGCGGGCCTTATTATAGAAGTCAACAGAATTTAATAAGATTTTATAAAAAAAAATTGACAATTTTAAATAATTGAATATAATCATGTTTATATAGTGTAAAAACTCCCCTCCGTTACCGTTCGCGAAGTAAGTTTTATTTAAAGAAGAATTATTGCATTCATACTGCAATAGGAAAACATCTTTTGTCTAGTAACATCTACTAATTACATTATTTATAATTGATTTATAAAGTGTAAAACAGAATATTTGTAAAATATTTTTTCCTAGAATTAAATAAGTTTTGTTCGCAAAGTAAACTCCCCTCCGTGACCAATTACAAATATAATGAGTAAATGAAAAAAAAAAATGATAATTGAGAAATGAAGAATTCAAAAGTGTTTACAGTGACGATGTTGTTTTGGTCAGTACACAACATCATGAAAGAAATGAAAACAATAAGTGTCAGAAAGATTTTCAGTTTCGCAATGTTCGTCGACACAAAAAAACTCCCCTCCGTGACCACTTTAAATTTAGTTTTTTGATAAATAAATAATAAATATTATTAATAATTTTTAGAATATTCTTTTAAATATCGCGAATACTATTATTACTTTTTTTTATAAAATTTATTATTTTTATATTAGAATCAATAAATTTTGGCTACGCCTAAAGGAAGAAAACTCCCCTCCGTGATCGCTAGTCACATCCATCGATTATAAAGCCTCATGCAAAAAAATGCACCTTTTTCGTACCTCGAATTTTGAAACTTTCTTTATGCCAAATGGTAACATATGATGACCCAATAATCCCTGCAAAATTTCAAGATGAGCATATGCCCCCTTTCGGAATTACAGGGGGTCAAAGGGGGCCATGTCAAAAAAAAGAACATGTAATATTATCGAATAATAATGTTAAAAAAATCAAACGAAATCGTTCCTTCAAGATTTTCGTCTGCTGATTACGAATTTGAAGTCCGTTTTCAAAAATTCAAAATGGCGGAACCTATATGGTGGACAACAATTTAAAAAATCGATCCGATTGACCTGAAAATGGTTACTCGGAGGTTTTTGGGGTCGCTGATTACGAATCTGAGGTCCGTTTTTCAAAATTCAAAATGGCGGATCCAATATGGCGGACTACAATTTCAAAAATCGATCCGATTGACCTGAAAATGGTTACTCGGAGGTTTTTGGGGTCGCTGATTGCGAATCTGAGGTCCGTTTTTCAAAATTCAAAATGGCGGATCCAATATGGCGGACTACAATTTCAAAAATCAATCCAATTTACTTGAAAATGGTTACTTGGGTTACCTTCAGATTTGTGTTCACCGTTATTGAAACCCCCTAATTAACGATATTGAAGCCAATTAAATAGATTTAAAAGATAATTGTCCGACATTTTGAATTTTTTAAAACTGATTCCAGATTCGTAATCAGCGACCCCAAAAACCCCTGAGTAACTATTTTCAAGTAAATTGGATGGATGTTTAAATCTGTCGTCCGCCATTTTGAATTTTTAAAAACGGACCTTAAATTCGTAATCAGCGACCCCGAAAACCCCCGAATAACCATTTTCAAGTAAATTGGACTGATTTTTGAAATTGTCGTCCGCCATATTGGATCTGTCATTTTGAATTTTGAAAAACTAACACCGGATTCGTGTTTAGCGACCCCAAAAACCCTCGAGTAACAAGATTTAAACGGATTCGATCATTGTATCGGTGACAAAATATTAAACAATTATTTTATATTAAACAATTATTTTTTAAACAATAATGTTCATAAAGATCGTAACAACGTATTTTAGAGACTTATTTAGGTCCTTCTCTTCACATAGCAATAGTCATAACAGTGGTTTTGAACTTTTTTTTTTTTTTTTTTCTTAATTCAGCATTTGTCCTTTTCGAGAGATTCACCCATATATTGAGATTTTTTTTCAGCTTTAAGGACAAATTTTTATATCAATTTTCTGAAGTGATGTTTTTTTTGACAAAAAAAAAAAAAAAATTTGTATCCATGAGTGGACCACCTGCTGAAATCGCTTAAAAATGATTAAAAATTAAATAAAAATTGAAGGATTTCATAATGCTTATAGAATATTTATTTATTATAAACACTTCAAACAAACAAAAATATTAGTGCATTTCAATTAATTTCTGTGTTACAAATGTTGCAAATGAAATACCTTTTTTTTCTATTTAATTTACTGGGCTCAATTTTTCCTCTTAAAACAAAAGTATTCCACTTGAATGTAGAATATTTTTATTCTTTGGTGACTAATAATAAAACAAAACAATTTTTTTTTGAGGTTCTGATGTCAAAAACATTGAATTAAAGTTAAATAAATAAACAAATCTATTAATTAATGTAAGTAATTAACTATAAATCATTAATTATATTTAATATTTAATTAAAGATATTTAATTTAGTGCATGATAATAGCTTTTCTTTATCAGTTTATAACCATAATTGTCAAATTATATGCGAGAGGAAAATCCTCTCAAGTGAGGTGACTATTACTTTTGATACAAATATATAAGAGGAAAATATGCATTAAATTAAGAGGAATTCGCTAGAATCAAGATTACTTTTTTTAGGGTGTGGAAATGTAAGCTATTTTAAATATCATATTTAAATTTTTTCTAACATTTAAATAATTAAAAATTCTTCTTGTATGATAAAAATAAATATATAAATAACAAAAAAAAAAAAAAAAAATTAAACTGACTTTAAAAAAGTCAAAATTAAATATTTTTTTTTTTAATCTCAGAAAAGATGGTCACAAAACTTTCACGACATTTTTTAACAGCATTTTTTTCGTGCGGCTGGTATTAAACACAAAAATGCGTCTATTTACTTGGGTATCACACTAAAATTGTTTTTACGGTGTTATTTATTAGTTAAAACCAATAGTTTAATATTTCGCATTTGATTTCATAAAAATCGGAAAGGTGGTCCATACTCATGGATATACATTCTTTAAATTACATTACAATGTTTTTTTAATAAACGTATTTCAATATTTCTATATATTTAACTTTAAATACAATAATAAATATCTCAATTAAAATATATAACTATTGCATAATACAATAACGAATAATTTAAATTAAAAATAATAAGAAGAATAAAAGTTTTTATTGACTTTTAAAAGAAAAATTTTTTTTTTTTTAATATAATACTTGTCTGAAACTTTGAAACGCTAGGAAGTTAAAAAAAAGAAGTTTGTCCTTATATATATATAGTAATAATTTTTAATCCTGGAAAATCTTAACTTTTTTATGGGTAAATTTAACTTGAACCCCGAAGCAGTATTATTTTACCTCTCCCCCTTTTTGTTATTCATGAAGATAAAAATCAAGATTTTAAACTTTGATCAACAGAGATAGATTTAGTTATAATTAAAATGGAAAATTCATTTTCAGAAATTTTTTTCATTATTATGTAAAAATCAGAAAGAGATTGATATTAATCAACAAAAGATTTAATTAAGTTACAAATTTCTATCTTCCGTTTTAATAAAATTTATCGAATATAATGTCTTTTGTACACTTTATAAAAAATTTTGAGAATTTCCCCCAAAAGTCCTTGGAGTATATATATATATATATATATATAGTACTTTAAAAATAAATACCTTAAAATAAATAAAATTCTCTTACATTAAATACTAAAAAATAAATAAATTTTTGTAATTTAAAACAAAAAATTTATTTGATTTACCAAAAATATTAAATACTATTGGGGATAATAAATTAAAGACGATTCATTTATTATTAAGAAATGTAATTGAAGCATGTGCAATGTGACAGTGACTTATTTACATGCATGGAAGCACAAGTTTGAAATATTTAAAGCCCCTTAAAGTATAACCAGTCATTTGGGACTTCACAAAGTTACTTCGAAATTGCTCAAGTTTCTCCATTTCAAGATTTCCCAAAGTCATTTAAAACTGTATTAAAATCAATTATTCTATCTTAAAGTCTGCAAGAAAAAAAAAAAAATTATACCTTATTGCAAAAAAAATTTCTATATTCCAATCGAATAAATAATGTATTTAAATTAAATCCTATAAAAATATACATTTATCTTAAAGCTATAAAT